CTAAAACCCAGATCACAACCGGTCCCTCATGAACCGCTTCTTACGACCACATTAGCTGCATTACTGGGTACTACTTCTTTTAGGTGATTCACTCGTCTCTTGGTGTAGTAAGAAGCAAACCTTGGTTTTCAGATTGAGTGTAGAACCTGAGTATCGTGATCTTGTTGATCCCACCTCAAAGCTTATGTGGATGCGTTGACTACTTATTGATCTCGGTGCACTAGTCATCATTTACTGCTCTACATTGTGATAGCCAGAATGCTATAAATATGTCTAATAATGAGCGCACAAATCATATTAAGGTTGACTATCACTTCATTCGATAATATGTTGCGCATGGGACTGTGCATCTTATTTCGGTTTCTTCTGCGGATCAAACAACAAATGTCTTCTGAAGTCTCTCATTCCCGACCATTTTTAATTGCTTTTAGCAAACTCAAGTTTATTGTATTCTGAATACAAGGGAGAATGTCTTCGGACCCGGCACGCGGGGCAAAAGGCCCAGAACTGGTCAGGTCATACTATGTGCTCGGTTCTGGGCCTGTTGACCATAGGCCGGTTCAGGGCCAATTCGGTCAGTTCTAGTCGAACCGGCGGGCTGGGCCACCCTGTGGCCATGACTAGTATTCTCAACCCATAAAATATAAACAAGAACATGCATACATTACCTCTACTTTGATTCACTAAAAATTGAAGTTCATTCTGTTGGATCAACAGTCTATGAGGTCAATTAACAACAATCATAATATCTATAAACTAATAAGATATTAATTATATTTCATAACTAAACCTTAAACCCCTATATTAAATATTATTTTTTAAACAGAAAAAATCAATTAGAGATCAAATATTACTAAACATGAAATTTAAGTGAAGCTAATTGTTCTTACTATATTTATTGCAGTTAAAAATTATCAAATTATATAGGATCCAAGGTGACATAAATATATTAATAACACCCATCTAATATATCACCTCTTTGTCTTAAAATATTAATTATTAAAAACCGAGCACAAAACCTAAAATTTAGCACTTCAAGAGTTTAGAAAATAGTAAAGAAGAGAGGAAGATATTGTGAAAGGTGTGAAAAAAACTTTTTTTTTTTTTTTTTGTTGCGGGAGGTGTTTATAGGATTTTTTTGAGATTTTTTGGGATTTATTTTGAATTTTTTAAATTGTGTTTGATTTTTGTATTTTTTTTCTTTTTTAATTTACAGTACCCACCGGTAGCTGTAAATGAGCCGAGCCGAGCTCGAGCTTAAGGTGTTTGAGCTCGAGCTCGGATCGTTAAGTAAACGAGCCAAAAATTGAGCTCGAGCTCGACTCGTTAAGGCCTCGAGCTCGAGTCTTAACGAGCCGATCTCGAGCTTTAACGAGGCGAACTATAAAAAAATTACATAAATTTTACTTTTCGAGCATTAATGAGCCTTGTCGAGCCGAGCCGAGCTCGGCTCGTTAACCAAACGAGCTTTAAATGAGCTCGAGCCGAACCGAGCCTTAACGAGCTGAGCCTTAACGAGCCGAGCTCAAGCCGAGTCGAGCCAGGCTCGTTTAATTTAACAGCACTACCCACGGGTCCGCGTTCGGGGGTCAGGTGGGTCAGCCGGATCTTGACCGTTGGATCTCAATGGTCATGATGATCCAAAATCTGGCCATTGGCCAACCGTTGTGGAACCGGCGGGCTGGGTCGTTGGCCAAGATGATCCAACAATCATATTTGGAAATTTGATCGTTGGCCAACGGTTGTGGAACCGGTGGGCGGTCGAATCTAAACCCAGACCCGAACCATGGAACCAATTTTTTTTTTTTAAAATCAGACAGTTCGATCTCCAACGATCAAAAACTTTCAACGGCCCAGATTAACGTGCTGCCAACGATCCAATATCGGACCACGGCCCGGCTTGACCCAGTCAACAAATTACAAAAAAAAAAATCAATATACGTCGGGCCATCTCGAGGGTCGGCCTGGACCCGACCCCTATGCCATTAGACGTTTCTTTTGTTTGCAAGCTTTGCTTTCAAACATTTATGACCAATATAATCTTTCGTTGTGAACGTTCCTCTACGCAGTCAAGCTTCTGAGTAGGAAGTTTGCTTGGCTTCAAAGCTTAACTCTAGGACGTTTCATAGGGCCTTAAGCTTTCTACTGGGACGTTTTACTATATGATACGCTTGAAATTCCAAAGTTCTAAAGTGTCGCCCTTTTTCTTTTAGACGTTTAGTTTCAAAGTAGAGCTTAACGTTTGGACGTTTGTTTGGCTTCAAAGCTTAGCTCTTGCACATGTTTTGTTCACAACCGAGCTTCCACACTAAACGCTTCTTTGGCTTCTAAGCTTAGCACCTAAACGTTTGCTTTTAGAGTCGAGCTTCACGCTGGGACTTTTGTTTGGCTTCAAAGCTTAACCCTTGGACGTTCCTTATGGCCTTAAGCTTTCGCATGGGAAGTTTAACTCTATTATAAGCTTGGGTTTTAAAAGTTTTCAATGTGTTGCCCCTTCTGTTTTTACTTTTGTTTTAGAGTCGGGCTTCACATTGACGTTTATTTGGCTTCCAGGTTTAGCACTTGGGCGTTTGTTTTCACAGTCGGGCTTCCACTTTGGACGTTTCCATGGCGTCCAAGCTTAACTTCTGGACGTTCTTTAGCTTTCGAGCTTTGTTGTTAGACGTTTAAATACTTGTTTTTAGTAACTTTTTGTACCACAAGGATATTTTTGTAAATTTACTATTTTTTATTATTTTTTTCGGACAACAAGTAGTAATTTGGGGCGACAAATAGCAATCCTGAACAATGAATTCAGAATTTGGGTTTTATAGTATAAAAATACATAAATTCAAAATTTCAGTTTTATGTTTCAACATATGTAAGATAAATATATATTAGAAACCCAAATATATACACATGTGAATTCAAAATTTCAGTTTTATCTTTCAACATCTCTGAAAGACTGAAGCATATGATTTTTGTACTTTTTTTATTGTCGCTTAGAGGTATTCCTGTAATAGTTATTAGTCCACGTTGTGGCCAGTGAAACAATTAGTAGAATCGAGTATAGTTGTGATAGGTTTAGTAGAGAATTCTTTACTTGTAATTCCAAACTATATACTGCAGGAGACAACCAATTTGCTAATGAAAGAGCTATGAGGAGTAGTGAGACGCTCTCCGAATACAATTTGTTAATCGACGCTTCTGCTTATATTGTGTGTTCTTACACACTAGGGATGTAAACGGGTCGGGTTGGGTGCGGGTTTTGGCATACCCGTACCCGACCCGCCAGTTAAAAATTGTACCCGTACCCGACCCGCTACCCGATTACTCATCACCGGGTTCGGGTTGGATTTTACCCGTCGGGTAATCGGGTAACCCGAGACCCGTCGGGTAATCGGGTTACCCGAATAAGTATTGCCGGTCAAATTAGTTCGGATTTTTTTTACCCGTTTACCCGAATTTCGCCCGATTATCCTACGCCCGACCCGACCCGACAATGAAAAACGCATGCATTTGAACTTTTATCATACCCTGACAAATAAACACAACTTCATTGATTTATTCATAGAATATTACTTGAATAATATTTAGTTACTCATAGTTTGTAATAGTTGTAAAAATGTAGATATATAGAACAAACTATGCACGTATAAACTTATTATCTAGTTTATTATTATTTATTATATATATGTTATTTCTAATAATTAGAGTCATTCTATTTGTATAAACATTATAAATTGATTATATTTTTACAGTTTTGCTATGGAGCCATCAGATGGCTCGGCTTATGGAGCCATCCACAGTTATTCACAAATAGGGTATTGACACGTGTTCTACAATAAATGCACTTTGACAAGTGTCAATACACTAAGTCATGGATGGCTCCATAAAAAAACCATCCGATGGCTCCATAGAATTTCTGTATATTTTTATATATGATGCTCATACTTATAAAAATAGAAGAAGTAACAAAAAGTTATGTCCAAATTATATGAATATACCCCATCTTCATTCTTCAATATATATAAAAATTTAAAAATATTTTAGTTACTAAATTAATATTTTTGGAATATGTATTTTTTGTATATTTATTTGTATCTATAGTTATTAGGTGTGCGGGTAATCGGGCGGGTAAAAAATCGGGTCGGGTAAAAAAAATCTATCGGGTAAACGGGTCGGATAATGGGTTTTTTTTGTTAAACCCGTACCCGACCCGACCCAGACCGCGGGTATAGAAATAAAACCCAAGCATGACCCGAAACCTGCCACTACCGAGTATACCCGACCCGATTTTTCGGGTTACCCGACCCGGTGGGTTTTTCTGACAACCCTATTACACACCTTGACACTCTACTCCCTCAAGCCATTGTTTTTTTTTTTTTTTTCATTGTGTATTGCAAGTTGCAACCTATAAGCCCAATACAAGGTTAAGACTCCTGTACATATATTTGTGAATAATACAACACAACTTGATCATTACATAAATTCTCATAGTGGGTATGTTGCAATATATTGTCCAACAATGGCAACAAAATAAAATTTTGATAGCTACGGTAGTTTTTTTAATAAATTAAATATAATTGCAACTGCTAAACAAGAAGGTACTTTTTCTATCCCTGAAAGATAACTGTAAATAAAACTCGAGGTTATTTTTTTTCACTGAAAACTAAGCTGGTCAGAAATTTCAATTCTTAGAGAAAATAGGATTGATTCGATTGGAAGGTTTTGAACGGGGAGGGGCTATGATCTCAGAAAAGCATGCAATTTTTTCGTAAACTCGGGCCATGCAACTTCTCGAGACGTGCACGGGCTTATTGTGCTAGCCAAGTGAGACGACTACAAGAAATTCGATAAAGCTCGATGAAGAATTCCGTATATATAAGCTAATTGCTCGATAGTATTGGGAAAAAAAGGCACCACACATCACCACATTTTCTATGCGTACGTAGTTTTGTTATGGTACATAGAAACTGCAAGCTCACTACAAAGAGTTGACAATGCTGTAAAGTGTGTCATCAGTCTTTGAGCGTGTCACTTAATCCTGTTATCTTGTCAGTGAATTCTTGTTCTCTTTTTCGTCTATGTTGAGTTACGGCTTTCGTAATGAAATGAACAAGAATTCCAACCGGGCAAAAGAGGAGGCAAAGGGAAACCGAATGACGGGTCTCTATGTTGTCCTCGAGGCCATCATGATATACTTGCCTGTTTGAACATGAAAATTCAAGATTTCTTAACAGATGAATAAAAATGTCTTTGTGTGTGTGTATAGAGAGAGGGAGAGAGAGAGAGAGAGAGAGAGAGAGAGAGAGAGAGAGAGAGAGAGAGAGAGAGAGACCTTGCTGCAAAAAGATCAACAGCCAATAAATGAATCCAAGCTGAAGCTAATGTCATCTCATTAGAGAACATCTTAGCTATACCTGGCAGCTGTACAATTTTATGACAAGTGAGCCCTTTTGCTGGACCGAACATAGCAGTTACTCATACGATCATAATATTCTAGTCAAAAAATGCTAAGAAACATGTTTTTTCGGAAAACATTGTTTTCGTTTTGTGAGGCTAGTTTATCATTTACTAATATAACGGCGAATGAATCTTGCATTTGGTAGTGAAATACACACCTCGGGCAGCCAGTATTCGCTTGCAAACATAAGACGAATTGTATCAGGTGTCCATGATAGATATAATAGATAACCGTATAACAATCCAAGAACTGCAAATGGTGCACTGCTTGCCACAACTTTCTTCGTCTGCATAATTATATCGACATGAAAAAAGTCATCAACACCCTTGATTGTAATTTAATGAAACAAATACATATATATATAAAGAAGCCCGTATTAATCAATCAAAGCCTCCAAATCCCGATATTTAATGTCATACCAAAAAAGGAAATGGACATAAATTCGAAAGAGACTATAGAAATTCGGAGTTTACTCACAAACTCGGCTTTAGGCGCTAGAACCATGAACGTATAAATTGGAAGAACAGCTGCCGTGCCCAATGTAAAAGCACCGCTAGCAATCTCAGAATTCGACATCCCTGAATACAAGTGCAAAAATATAGAAACTCATTTCGGTCAGATAACTTAGTTTAATTTATGAATCATCTCCTAAACATATTCAGAATATCATGAATTCTAGCTTTCAAAATAGGAAGTTCAATCGAAGTATTACACGAAGCATGTACTGCCGAGCTTTTTCTGCACCGAGCAGTTTCTACGAGACTCGTTCTAAGGAAAGTTCCGGATGATCCTCTGAGGAATGCCTGCCCAAAACATTCCTGTGCTTTGTTTCCAAACAGCTGAGTGTTTTTGCTTCCAAGGGCAGTCTTTATTCCAAGGCTCGGGACATTCTTACACGAAGTGTCTAGCTTCGGACGGTCGATTATCTGAAACAAACAAAGGCAAAAGGTACAAAAAAGATGAAGAAAACAGAAAAGGAACTCTAAATTTTCAAGCATTTTTTTTTCTGTCGGAGTGAAGATTCAAAGGCTTAACACAAACACATACAACAACCGGCAAACGAAAATTAGTCCTGTCTTAGACAAGAGAGCAGCACAATCATGGGCTTTAATCAAAACTTTATTCAGTCAAATACAAGGAATGTGTCCTAAAAGAACATGAACATAAAATCGAACTTGCTACATGGTATGATCCAAACAAACAGGGCATATGCATTCAAAAATCCAAGCAAGACACAAAGATTAGACACGCAAAATAAGCACAAACAATACATCAGAACAATGATAAATGCCCCAATAATGAAAAATCTCAGAAAAACAAAGCAAAAATCAAGAAAAAGCAACTACCTTGGGAGATAATAAACACGCGTGAGAGCTGAAGAAGCAAGAAGACAAGGCCATCTCTGAAACTCAAGAAACAAATCAAAATCTTCAAAAACTGAAAACCCTTCAAGAAACAGGGGTTAAAAGGGCAAATAATACTGATTTCTTGGGGGCATCAGAGATTTACGCAGATCCATAGGTGGAATATAATAGAGAAAAAAAAAATGGAAAGGAGGTCATCTCTTTCATGGTTTTAGTTACTGACTGTTGCACATGGGTACGAAGGTTTTAGAGAGATTCTACGGTTCCGTTACGGAAACATTTCGTTGAGTTTGTAACCGTTATATCAACTTACATAATTATCTAATAGTTACAAATCTCGACGAAATGGTTCATGGCAGTAGCATTTTCCAAGGTTTTATAGGGGTTTAAAAAATGGCCCCTTAAATATTACAGAAGTTGGGCCAAAAAAGAACAAAACGACAACGTTATTGGGTGGAAAAGCCGAAAGGAAGTCGTGACTCCACTAGTGTTTGTTTGACTGGATTTATTTACGTTTAGTCCAATGATGGCTAGACACGTGGACGGGAGTACGTGGGACACATGCAAGGATTCGTTGCTTTGGGTTTTGGAATAAATGTGTGTACTTTGAAACTTATTTTATGTTTAAGATAAGATCCTACTAGCCCGCCGTGGTTCATATCATTTCACATGCTATGCTCGAAAGTCGAAATACTTGTACTCCGAAATTGTTTTTGATATCTTTGTACTAGTATGGTGTCACGGATCGAGTTGAACCGATCGATTCTCGAATGTCCTCCATTCTCAAGCTTCAGTGAGTTGCAATGCTTTGGGAGGGGAGTCTCGCCGTAGACACTCCGACACTCAAGTCAGAACTAGTTCAAGTGAAACTAAATTGAAATATTACAGATTTAATGCGTTTAAGCGCGATAGATATCAAAATTGGGTGAATGTCTTGATTTTTAAGAAAATCCTTGTTGGGAAACATATTTTCTTTACTAACTTACCCCACATCTTTATACAAACCAGTCTCCTTAGCAAACTATATTTTCTATCCTAATAGGATTCCTTCTCCCTTTACCACAGGGCGCTAAGGTCTCTAGGTTGTAACCACGACCTCCTGATCTTCTTACTACAAGGTCATACCGAGATCGATACCTAACCTCTTCGACTTGTGACCTTGAAACATCAAGTTCTCTATTTGTATCTGAGCTCTTGGAGGTCCTACCTCCAGGTCATCTTAACAGACCAACCATTACCTTGAGTTGTACTCATGAACTCCCTGACTAGGTTATCCTCTTTTTATCAAGTCGGAACCCTTCTGCACCGACCTACCTGAGGTAACTATTCAGACCCTTCGATCGAGCTATTCTGGATGTTGCATCATCTAGCCCCTCCTCT